GGAGAGTTTCCCAACCCAACTCCATAATCTTCTGTTGTGTCAAACGTGCCACATGTGGACGTGCATTGTCGTGGAGAAGTAAAAACACCTTTCTGATTGACAAGTGAAGGGTGTTTCTGATGAAGGGCTTGATTTAAACGTTCCAGTTGCTGACCATAGATTTCTGCATTCACGGTTCGCTGTGGATCGAGGAGTTGGAAATGAATTACTCCTTTCATGTCTCACCAAATGCAAAACATCACTTTCTGTGGATGGAGTCCAGGTTTCTGGGGTTGGAAATGGTTTTTGTCTAGGACTGAGCCATTGTTTTTGGCATTTAATATTCACATAGAGAATTCATTTTTCATCACCGTTGACAATTCTATCCAAAAATGGCTCACGAGCATTACAGGCCAGAAGAGACGAAGCAATGTTCACATGTTGGAAACGATGATCATCGGAGATGGTACATGACAAGACATACATTTGACATGTAATGCTGTTTGAATACAAGAAAGGAAACAACACCTCTGTTGCCACAAAGAACATCAAAGAAGTTTATGGAAATGTTTTTAACATTCGTAAGTGTCAACGATGGTTCAGCATATTTCGTTCAGTTGACTTTAGCCTTAAAAACTGTGATGGCAGGGGCCAACATGTTGGAATTGATATTGATACTCTGAAGATGCTTGTTGAGTCTAACCCAAGGCAACAGCCTTATGAAATGGCCCTGAAATTGCATGCCTCTCATGAAACAATATGTAAACATCTAAGGAATATGGGAAACTTCATAAAGAAGGTGTTTGGGTGCCTCACAAACTCATTATAAAGCATTAGAATATACTAAACTTTACACAGTATATATGCTAAACTAACATGATGTTTAGGTGGTTCGTTTAACTATTATATGTGATGTACATTTTTTGGGGAGTGGTTAATGAAAGTGTTCCAAAATGCGACATTAATTTCTTGACAACCTAATAGATGATAAATTTGTTAATGTTAATTTTATCTACAATAAATGTCTCCTGATATACATGTACCTTGCTCATAGCACAGGTGATATTTTATTACTTTTAAAGAGTTTTTATTGATTATGAATAAATATCCATATTTATTTTGTTTTAATGTAATTTAAACATGGTATATATTAAGATAAAAACTTCAAGGTTAAATTACTACATGGTATTAGCCTGTAAGCTTTGTTTTACATTTTATTTATTGGTCATAAAATTAAACTTGTTTATGACAGGAAAAACATGCACACTGTCTAATAAAAGTTGTAAAAATGAGGATAAGAGGCAAAGTTAATAAAATTTATCTTTGAGTCATGCATGGGACACCTGGTAAGCAGATGATCACCCTAAATGGTAAGAGAGAAATTTATGTTTGCAGGTAAGGTACAGATTATTTTAGTAGTAAATTATTTTTACTCCAGACACACAAAATAACTAAGATCAATTTCTTTGCACCAACCTATATCAAGGTACATGTATGAAGGAAACAATATTGGTTATGAAAGTAGAATTTAAATTAACTCCCCACAACTATTCTATCTGTAGTTACATAGCTCTAAAGAGGTGGGGGGGGGGAGAAACTGAAACAAGCAAAACAGTTTAACCTTTGGCAATTAGAAAGTGCAAGGAGGAAAATAACAGAATAAATTAAAATAATTTATGTTGCTAATACTGGGTGTGATTCCTGTTACTAGCTTTGTAAGTCCTGACTGACAAGGGCCAAGGCCATAAATCTTACTACCATTTATAAAAGGTCAAGAGCAGAATACATACGAATAAAATAAAATTAAATTATCCTTTTATACAGTACTTAAAAACCTGTCTAGAATAAACACACACCACAAAACAAAAATATCAAACAACTAAATGTAAAATTTATAATAAAATACATTTACTAATTTTTATTCCAAATAAGTGAATACTTTACAAAGATTGTTAACCATGTCTTTATAAAACAGCTTCAAGAATATAAAAAATTAAAACGTTCTTGTAACATTAGAATAAGTCATTTAGCAGTTTTCTTAATTCTCATACTTAACAATTGTGATAAAGAAAATAGAAAAAATCTTACTTACGTGAAATAATTGGCAAAAAAAAAAGATTTAGAGGAAAGTTGTAAATACTGTGTATATTTTAAAAATACAAAATAAAATAAAAATTAGCAAGTAAATTATATACAAACCAGGCTCAATTAATGGTTGATACCATACTTTATTCCATTACAGATTTACAGAATTTAACTATTTATCATTAAAGTATGTCAATACACTTGCCATGAAAATGTAATTTATTATAAAAATTTGAAGACAAATTTTAATTTGTTAATTTCAAAAGGGAATATTTAATTAAGTTCTCAGTTTTTACTTTTATGTATCTTGTAACCCTTCTTTGCTCTGAATAGCCCATTTTTGAACTTCTTTCAACCCCCGTATTAATTTTTAAGTTTCATAGGACTTACACACATATACATTAGATATTACTAGCCTCTTTTCTTCTTGCTTTAATGAGTTATATTTTATAAACTGAAACTTGCATGCCACACCCCTCTTACCACATGCTGTCAATAATTCTCTCTGATGTTTGCTATTGAATTATTTATAACCCTCCCCCAAAAAAGACCTCAATTTAATACTTTCCTTATGAAGCTAGCCTGTTGTCATGATTTAGAGTTATTCTGCACATCATCTTCACAGTTTGCCATCTCCAACACCACCTGAACCAGCTAAGTAAATTATTCTATTACTAGCTGGAGTACCCATTCCCTGGATGGAAATTATGTAAACTTATGATTAATGAAAGATTATTTTAGGACATGAAAGCTGCTTCCCTGATATGTAATTGTAAGAAATGCAAAAATGCCATAAAAACTGCGAAACATAAAATGTGAAGCCGAAAATATCCACGAATCTCCTCATGGACCCAACAAACTTTTATGCCCAGTCTGGTGAAGATCCATCAACAGGGGTGTGAAGTAGTGGTAAAAAAAATACAAAAACACAAAAATGGCCATAAAAACCATAAAACTGAAAAATTTGTATTTATCTCTCCATGGATCCAATGAACCTCCATACCAAATTTAGTGAAGATCCATCAACAGGGGGCAAAGTGCTAGTAAAAAACACAAAAATGTCCATAAGAGCCACAAAACTGAAAATATGTATGTACCCCTCTCATGTACCTAATGAGCCTCCATACCAATTTTGGTGAAGAACCATCCACATCTTGTGAAGTAGTTACATGGACATACAACAGACAGTACTATTATATTTATATAGATACACATTGCTTAGTTAAAAATCCAATTAAATCATAATAGTTTTAAGACATTGTTTTTGTTTCATGTTATATTTTGTGTTCTGAAATGTATAATTAAAATAAATAAAAATCAAGTAAAATATTAACAACACCCCTACAAAAAAATAGGATTAACTTTCATTGAAACTTCAAAAACAAAAAATTACAAGACCGACATGTAAGTACTAGATTTTGTTTTTTATTTATTCTTATAACAATAGCTGAGGCATACAAATTTGAAACTTATTAGGTTACATAAAAGAAAAAGTACTTAATAGCTCAAACATATCTTTTAAGCACAGTATGTTGTAAGTTGACCAACGTGTTAATAACTTGATGCTGTGTTTACACATAGCTTACCTGCTATAATAATTCACTTTGCCACTAATCTAATGGCAGTAAAACAACAAATCTAAATGATAAGGAGATCCCAACTGTATTATCTTAGGCTGTAAGAATAAATAGCATGTAACTGTCTAACAATATATTCATCCTAAAAAATGAAAAAGAAGGTCATTTTAATTTTTTTGTGGAGGTTACAAGGTTGGTCAAATGGACCAATCTCATATATAGTTAGAGTAGAAAAAGTAAAAGATAAAATAAAATTCTACTAAAAAACTTTTGATAGTAATTTGAATTTCAAGATGCACATGCATGTTGCAGATAAAATGGTCATCTAAGTATAGATTTCCTATGTTCAAAAGTGATAGCCACATGACTTACTAATACTTACAGTCATTGATTTATCATCTAGAAAACTTCTTGCAAAAATCTCAAAAAATTCTAAGATTTCATGATTTTTCCAATGCAACAGTGTCAAAGTACTGTCCCAATTCTTACTAGTTCTAATTAGAAATTGGTAGGTGAGCTATAGTTAAATTTTCAATCAGTTTTTACAAACTTGTTTAATTCTGCCTGATAATAATACTTTTCTTTAGAAGGAATGGGCTGGGCTTCCAACAACATTTTCCTCACCTTTAATGTCTTAAAATCCTAAAGAAATGTACACTGTATAATATAGTTAATACAAAAATAAACTAATGTTGTTGTAAATACTTCCTACACTATTAGTAGTAATTAATTAACAAATACTTACCTAAATTTTTCCTCAGCATTCCATTTGAACTTTCTACTGACTTCCCTCATCTTAAGACTGCATTGGTCTTTTGTTGAAATGTCTTTGTGTTTTGTTGAACGGACAATAACTGATCTGTTATCTAATTCACTAACTTGGATAACCCCTGGGAGAAACAGATGAAAATAAGCAAATTTATGTCAAAAAGACAATATTAGGAAAATATTTAAAACAAAAGTTAGCCATGTGAATTTTCAGACTGTTTGATATTCCTGTTTTTAAAGTTTTTACAGAATGTACCTATATATATATGAAAATTCACTTGTAGATAATAGCTAATACACAGGCTCTTAGACTAGATCTAATCACCTACAGTGTACATAATAAACAAAAATGATCATAAAAAAATTCATGAAACTCAGTTATTATTATAGAAATTTAATATATAAACTTCTTGAAATCAAGGAGTTTTGATGCATACGTAACGTGCATATACATAATTAAGGAAAGTGTTTTGAAGAAAAATGTCATTGATCCAGAAACATATATCTCAAGCCTCAGCCTATGAATAAGTAAGCTGAAGCTTGAGATAAATGTTATTGGATCAAGTAGTAAATTACTTTTATTACTAAAAGTATATAGTTGATTGTTAGATGTAAATGTACGATTTTCTCCATACATTTTACTTTAGATATGTGATTAATTTCAATCTACTTGTATATTAAATATAGGACCTCACAGCACTATATTTAAAAAACATCTATATTTATATCCCTATGTGAAACTAAGTATTCCATGTCACATCTCAGTAATGCATTTAAAATTGCAATTACGGTAATTTGCATACATTTTCTACACAAATATATAATACTGGTTGTGTTTTAACCATCACTACATATGTATCATTAAGAGCTTCTGATCAAACATAAGCTGTTAAAAAGTAACTTAAAATGAATGAAAATAATCTCCTATAATAAATCAACTAGCAATCATTTCAAAATTGTTTTCATTCTATATCTGGGGAGGTTAGATTTATTTCACAGCACACTATTTATTTTGTAACATTCATTATAAGTCAAACTTAGATGTATTTATATACTCAAAAAAGTTACATGTTGCTTATAGTTCCTGTCAGCTTGGAAAATCCCAGTGGTTTTTTGGTGCCCTTTAGCATGCCTACAAAGAAAACTAAGTTATATTTGTATTAAAAAATGTTACCAAACAAGAGAAAATTTTCTATGCTATCTAAAAACTCTATAAAAATGCATTGGTTTATTGGTTTTATATACATGTTTGAAGTAATATTTGGATAAAAAAAAAACACACGCAAGTTTCTCCAACAATCACCAACTTACCTTTATAACGTGGTGTGAAGTGTTTCATTTCTCTAGGAACATTAAGATAGAAATGAAGCTCTTGCTGAATGAGAGGTTTGCACAAAGTGTCTGGTTCCAAAAGCAGCATCTGTGAATGGCCTCCAACCTGGTGATTAAAAGGGTACATCTCTCTAACATCTTTGTTTGGTCCATGTGATTCCAGTATTGCTGATGCACAGTCTTCTGAACTGCTCTCTCTTATTTCTTGGTCTCTCATAATGTAGTTAAAGTTTTCCATTGTAACAAAAGAAGTTTGGAACTCAAAAGCAGTCTTTTTTCAATACAATTGTTTTCAAATTTCTCTGCTCCCTTTAAAAGTAGTTTTATCAACATACATTTATAGGATTGAAAAAAGTGCTTTGTTGATATTTTTATCCAATGCTACAAATGTGTTAAATTGGAACTTATGTGAAGAAAACTGAAAAAAACAAAAACAAAAAAAAACATTCAACTATGTTTTAACAAAAAATAAATATAAAGCTTTCAACACAACAAAGGTTATCTTCATATGTCTTTTACCATCAGCTATGAAATTTACTCACTATTCATCAGTTTTAAATGTACTTACTTTTAGGAAGAATTGGAAACAGAAAATTAATCATATAGAACAAATCCCTCACATGTAACCTAGGATTTACTTTAATACTGACCTGGTTCTTATATAATTATTTTTTTTTTACTTTTTAGTTAGATTGTTTTACTTGCTGAGAAAACAACATTAAGATTATGTGTAATGGTAAAAAAAAACTATCAATAATAATTTTCATTTCAAATATGAGCTCAAGATTCAACACATTACCCTGAATATGTTTTGGTTCTTAACAGTCTCTCTCTACCTACCAATAAAGAGCAAAATATATTGAGATCAAGCTAAATATGTAACCATATATATACTTCCATAACTTATTCATGCTGAAACCATCTTGAAACTTTCTGTGTTCATTTCGTGCCAAGTAGATTTTTTGTATATTAATGTCCAAAATATCAATTAACTTAACTGATATGATCAATTACACATAAGAATCTATTAAATCGAGCAGCATCATGTAACAACGGATTAACTGAAATTATGATTAAACTGATTAATTTCATGAAAATAATCCATTAATAGAAATTATTGTTTCTGGTTATTCTAACAAGTATTTGAAATTGATGGCATTTGCCAATTAATTAATTGTTTGACTCATTAATCAATCACTTTCACTTAATTATTCTCATGAAACTCAGGTAATGGGAAGAACTGAAAACATGTAATAATCAGATATAATGTAATAATTGATTAGTAGATTATTTTCATGAGTTGAGACACTAACCAATTAAGCTAAACAACATTGAATTCATTGAAAATAATGACGAGAAATTATATTTGTAATATTCCAATTACTTGGATAACTGGAACATTCAAAAACAGTAAAACTGGAAACACTAATTTATAATTGAGTTAGTTGTCCAGCTCTACTGACAACGTATTTAAGTTGTGTGCTTGCAGAATATCATAAGCTTATATATGTAATTTGGGTCAAGAATCACCAGCTATTAAAATGCCAATCAAAAGGTAATTTTTCATATTCACAAAAACCTGGCTAAGATCTATTCTCATCTAGATCACATTTTATTTCTTGATGTTTAATGAGGACTGAACTCAAACAATGTTTCAAGTCTGGAAGAATCAAACATCCAGAAATGTACCAACAGTTGTGACAGATCAGTTATACATGTTCCAAACAAGTTAATAATAATAATTATTATCATCATTATGTTTGTAGTAGTTATAAGAGCACTGGTTGGAATTATTCTTAAAGATATTATTTAAAAGCAGATTTCTGCATAAAAAATATCAGAGTAGCAACAATCACTCCATTTAGGTCTTATGCAGTAAGTTAGATGGCTATCAAGTATACAAACAAAAATAGTTTACATTTTACTTACTATTAATTCAATTACTAAACAAAACCACATGATATATTAATCACCGACAGTCTAGTGTGGAAACCAGTTGCACTTCCTAGCTTAGAATTATCCGTAAAAGGCAATATGCCTATATATTATATACTTCTTTGTTTACTATAAGTGTTTCAATTTCTGTACAAGCAGAATAAGAAAAAAAAAAGGACAATAGTTTTTACCATTATTTTTTGTGAATTGTTTCTCTTATTATATAACATGTTGCTTTTTCTTACATGATCTTATTCTGTTTAGATTTGTTCAGAAACATTGAATAGCGATATTACTATATGAACAGTTCTAGCAATAAAGCAGATTTGCTCCTTAGCAATGGCTTCCTTGTAACTTGGATGGATATTTTTTTTTTAATAGTTATAATCAGAAGATTCCATTCATTATATGTAATAAGTTTTGAACCCATTTTATGTTATTTAAACATTTTATTAGGTTTCTTATAAATTATTTTCTTTGGCCATTCAAGCAGTTACTTTGACTGATAATGCCTAGTGTATACACAACCTAACACAGTGGGCTTGTCTGCAAAGCGAAACTTGATACAGTCGAGTAAAGAATTAAACTAAGCCTACCTCTGCCTGTTCCATAAAACATATTTGCCTATCATACTGCAATCTCATTATTCAAATTAAGTACAAAATGATAAATCAAGTTTAAGAAAAATAAATCACAGTTATGGTAGAAGATGTTTACAAACATCTTTTTTTTCTAGCAACATATTACTAAGTTAAATTTTTTATCACTTTGTTCTGAATTCTATGTGAATTTCCAGTGAACTGGAAATGACACTGGTTTATACATTTGAAAAAAACACAAAGAGAGTTTTCATTATGTTTTTAGCTTATGACTTCTCAAAGTTGAATAATAGGGAAATTAAGACAATACATCACAACTTAACAATCAAGGTTAAGAAACAGTGACTGACTAAAGTCCTTAAAACTTTACATGCTCTAAAGGTACATGGTCAGAGTAGCACTATTTGTTCCAAAATTATTTTGACCATTCTCCTAGGGAGTTACAAGTACCACATTATATATTAAAAAAGAAGGGAATTCAGAAACACCCATGTTTTTATTCAGAGCGATTTGAAACAACCAAACATGAACATTTGAAATGTGTTGTTATTTTTATGGAAACAATTAAGCTTTTCAGTGAATACATTTCAGCTCTGAAAATTTTTTTTAATGTGTGGAAGAATGACTACAAGTTCTTTATCTATATTTTTTAAAATGCAATACTGCAATTTTATCCTTGAAATGAGTTGCACCCATTAGGGTGTGACAGTTAATCAGTGAAATATTACATACAAAATATGCTTTATAAGTAAGTGAGGCTTACTTATCAGACAGTTTCTATCATTACATAATGGCTACATCATAAACATGATAACATTAATTTTCACTCACACAAACAGGAATTTGTCTTACAGTGTATAAAACTTAAAATTGTAATTCATCATTGTTAATAATCAATAAATACAGTATTGCACTACAGCATCTCTGACATTACATGCAATTTCAATCACATCATACATTATTGACTAATACAGGTTTCGACTAAGAAAAGTGTATAATAGTATTTGTACTACATGTACCCTTTATTTGTTGTACACTCCCGCCAACAAAGCTTTCCTCTCAGCACAAACTATCATTTCATTTCCAAAGGATAACAAAAGGACATTTGGTTCTTCTAGTCTATCCAATTTTCTAATACAACTCGACTCCAAACTACTTAATGAAACCACTTTTTTTTTATATCCAACCCCAATTTCTAAAAGTACTCATCCAGGCTTCTCTTAACCTCCTTCAATGCTGCAGCTTTTACTGCAACTGATTGCAAACTATTCCATAAACCCAGGGATGGTTATAGGATCTTACTGCTGGTGATGGGGAACAAGTGGGCATTTTGGGGCCTTTGGATGTAGCTACTGGAATAAAAAAAGGAAGCTGCAGGAGCCCAGTTCTGAGTTAGGCCCTCCGTGATCATAATTTATATAAAGATTGAAGATTTTATAATCTACTACAAGGGGCTCATTGATGACTACTAGGAGGAGCAAATGAATTCTGTTTGTACACTGAGCTTATAACCTGTTCTGATCCATGGACATCTCTTTCATTCCTATCAGCATTAACCTATTCATGACGTAGGTTCAAAAAGTCTTGATAGAAATGAATAAAAACCCTATAACATGAGAATTTTCGAAAGGTTCACCTTTTGAAAGCACTCAGGTTATAGGATTTTTATTCATTTCTATCAAGCATTAACCTATTGTCATGCACTCACCCTGACCACCATCTTGTAATCTTTGCTACTATACTAAACACTGTACTTTTTTTTTCATTTACCCCCAAATCAACATTTACTCATTCCGATTAAATTATTCTGAATAACTCAGTTAATAACCTTTGCAAAAAAAGTTAGCTTCACAGATACTAAAATGAAGATTCAATCCACAGAATGTTTCTCTCCAACAAATAGATCCCATTAATTTGACCACACAACTTCTTCCATCTGACACAATTTCACTCTACTATTTTGTCCTATTGATCAACTTAGAACTTCTCACCATAATTAAACCTCAGTACTACCCCCAATAAAAGTAATCTATGACCTCTAGAATCAAATGAATTTGTTAATTTCCTGTACTTTTCAAGTAGCTCCTCTATCTTATCCATACTACATTTGCTCCAGCATGTACCATAATTCTGGATTCTAAGGTTCTCATTGTACTAAAATAGTAGACCTTTAAATGTTTTCTTCTTTTCCATATTTCTAAGAGAAGATATTTGCAATATTTCTGATCTAGAGAATTTTATGAGTAATATTGGAATTTACCTGAATTTTATACATATTAATTCCTTGGTGGCAAATAGAAAGACTGAGAGATTCAAAGTAGGCAAAGAGCTTTACCAGATAAAGTTTCCCAATGGTTTTAAAATAGGTCAAAGAACAGATAATATACAAGCCTCTCTTTTTTCATCCTTAATAACAGATCAGTAGACAGTGGGAAGGTATTATTTACCCCTGATTGTTTATCAATTTAGGTATAAATCTAGGTATATAGGTTTTACACTTTTTAAGTTATAACTTTTACTAGTTATACTTATTAGTTATAGTCATCAGCATCTCAATTACTGAATTAGGGCACTTTATTTACTAGCACACTTAAAACTTAACTTTAAAGAAGACAATTCGTTGCTGTTAGTTTTTAACATCATCAGCTAAATGTTTCTCACAAGACATTTTGGATTCCCTAATAATATAGTAATATCTTTTTTAACGAAATCCCAGCCGATATTACAAATGCAAAAAACACTGTACGTCATTTTCTCAATATCTTAACCTTTACGCTATAGTATAAATGTAACAGTGTGAGTGTGATACTGACAGTTGTCTAAAAGTAAAAATTCGCATAAAAAATGTTATTACCATTACCAATGCTAGTTATACTGATACTAATGAAATAGTATTAGTAGTATCGCAATGAACTGGACAACACGTCAAGTTTGCTTCCAAATGTTGAAAATACTTTACACCTATATAATTTGCAAGTTCAGCTTCTTTCTTATCATTAAAACCTACCTGTTTGTGGTGAAAAGGTCTACTAGCTTTTATTAGGTTAAAATTTCTCTTATAATTTATAGTCTTCTTGTAACATAACAAATTTCAGCTGTGTTTGATACATCACATCCTGTTAGTGGTCATGTGACTTACCTCTTAACCAATAACGTAAGCCTAGCAACTAGCTTATACTATATCAGCTGTGTAAGAATATTTACCCACATATTAAATCACCGAGTTAACTAAAAAAGCATAAATATTAAGAAATATCCAGGCGCTTAATAACGAAAGGTATACAAAATATAAATATATTTTTGTTCTTTAAATCAATGCGCAAACTATGAAAATTTAATTTTCAAATCACTCTTAAAGCGTTATTTGTACGAATAGATTAATAAAAAATTAAAGCAATCGTCATTATTATTATTATTTGCTCCAATTAGAGCTGGTACGAGTAAACTTGTATTTGTTTTGGACTTTAGTCCTTTTCACAAGCAGTGGAATAACTTTGAATTGCAGAAAGGGTGAGCAATGATTGGAAACACCTTATCTGCTGTGATGAAACAGCGACTTTTCCTGGTTATTATACAGAAGATTATATTCTCCATTCAAAGAGGCACTTCACTACCAGGTGAAAAGTTGGAGGTAAAATGCCTTCCTAGGTTCTGTCGCCTATAGCCAGATTCATATCTGTGCGATCTCAAACATATTTCTCCACATTAATTAAGTGGGTGTGTTATGAGAGTGGTAGCCGATCCCTTAGCATGGATGGTGGATGGTAGAGTGATACTTATTGGCTCCTGTCCTTCTGGTTAGTACATCTAAATTTGGGATGGCGGCATATAGCCTTAGTAACTTTGCCATAAATACAAAACAGCAACGCTACAAATCATTTATCTCATTTGTATTGTTGTAGGATTTTTTTTTTTTTAGTTTATTCACTTGCATCATTGTTTAGCCAAAAGAAGTGTTGATGTTACTCTGGAAATTTCTTTAGCTGGAAAAAATAAATTGAAAGTAAAAATACAAAAAACTCAAGTTTTGTGAGTGAAGAAAATAATGTTAATTGATTAGAGAGTCAGTTACACTGATGGTTTGACCATGAAGTTTGTTAGTCGATTTCTGTAACTGTTAATCATTTCAGTGCTGTTTATTTTGAGTCTGTGTTTCAACGAAGTAAAGAGATACAAAATTAACAAATGAAAAACAGTTTGACATTATTTGAGGCTGAAGAAATAAAACACCTTCCTTTTCATTAAATGGGGGATTTTTCAGAAAAATAAAAACACTCTACAAAATTGTCAAAACACTGATGTCAGAAGTGGGATTGTTTTAGTAAAATAATAATAAACTGATGCTAATCTTCATGATGAGGATGACACATGCTTGAAATTAGATTGAAAATTTGCTGGAAATCATAGAATTAAAACAGCTAGCAGAAAAGTGGTAATTAAGACAGAAAAAAATAAATATAACTAATGGACAACTATTTAATCTTTTAACTTGGCTGACCTTTAAATCCAGCTTTTATTTTTCATAAAATCGTCGATTCCCTTGATAAACTCCTATAAAGTGCTGGCTTCCACTACTGCTGATGGCAACTAATTCCATAAGTCAATCATCATATTAGAAAAATAAAAATGTCTTAACTGAAGACTAGCCTATTTTTTTCAAATCTTAAATTTTGTCCTGTTATCTTACAAAAATATTATAAAAAAGTTGGACACCTTTATCATATCAATTCCTGGATAAGCTTATAAACTTTATTAAGGTCATCTATTGTACCCTTCCTTTCTCAAATGAAAATAAGTTAAGAGCTCTTAACCTATTCCTGTAAGATAATCTTTCCATTCCTGAAATCATCCTAGTGTTACGACAGCGAAAGTCACGTGACGCTAGTAACACGTGAGGAGTTTCTAGAAGGATCATGAAGACCCGAGTGCATTCGAGATGCCCTCTTTTTTAACATATAAGCCTGGCGAGTAAAACCAGTACGATAGGCAGATAAATAGAAAAGATATAAATAGATTGAAGATAGAGACAATTGAGTCAAGTGAACAGTAGGCGTAAGTAAAGTGTGTGAATCACTGTGATTTATAGCGTGTGTTATAAAGGTTATTAAGTTTAAAGTGACTGTGGAAATTCTGTATATTACAAAGTTGTATCGAGAAAGAATAAACTAGTTTTAGTTAAGAAAGGACTTGTATCGCTGAAGGTCTTCGGAAAGAATTTATACCAGAAATTAACAAACGACCAGATACGTAACACTAGCTTACATCCTTTGAAACTTTTCCAGTAAGTCAATATCCTCCCTAACATAAGAGACTAAAACTGTACAAAGTATTACAAATGAAGCCTAACTCAGTGATTGATATATATAGAGAGAGAATGACTTATTTTTCATCCCTGCCGTTAGTATGTCTATAAATAATATAACATAATGTTCAAGAACAACAAGGGACCTATTGGTTCATCTTCGATGTCTCATCCTCTAAACAAAACTAAAACTATTAAATGAAGAAATTTTAAAAATCTTAAAGCCAGCCCTTATTATTCATCAAACTTTCTCTTAAACTCACTTAAATATACTGCCTCCACAACATCTGAAAGCAACCCATTCCTGTTAGAAAATTAAAACTATCTTAGCTGAAGATGACTCCTACCTTGCTAAAATTTACATTTGTGTCCCCTAGTCATACTATTTTCGCCATTAAGTATGAAAATTCCCTTTACAGTCTTAAACACTTCAATCGGATCCCCTCTAACTCCTCTTTTTTCAAGAGAAAACAATTTCAGAGATCTTAACCTCTCCTTATATGAAAACCCTCCATCCCATGCACCATTCTAGTAACCTTCCTCTGAACTCTTTATAACAATTTAATGTCATTCCTAAGGAAAGGAGCCCAAGATTGAACATAATACTCCAAATGTGTTCTAACCAGTAACCTATACAATGAAATTATAACCTATTTAGACTTGTATGCAATATTTCTATAGATATAACTTAAAATCTTACTTGTCCTACCACTAGCAACAGCACACTGCTTAGATGGCTTAATAGACTGATCAACCATTACACCGAGGTCCATTTCTTTCATGACACTGTTAAGGTTATTCCCATCCAAATTATACCTATAATTCAAATTATGATAACCCACATGCATTATTTTGCATTTATTATAATTAAAACCCATCTGCCATTTATTCACCCAACTCACTAAATGATCTAAATCCTTTATAAAGATGCAGCATCCTCTTCACAACTAGCAAAACCCAAAACCTTAACAAGAAATTTAAGTAATTTTATTGACCATACTTTCATCTATGTCACTGATGTAAATCAAAAAGAGCAAAGGTCCTAAGACTGAGCCCTGAGGTACCCCATTTGTGAGATTAATTCGGTTTGACTGAACTCCATTTACAACAACGCTTTGCTTTCTTCCATCTAGCCACTCTTCTATCCAATTAGCTAATTTATCCCCCACACCAATAGAGATAATGTTTTACAAGCCTTTTATGTGGCACCATGTCAATATATTTCTGATATCAAAATACACCAAATCTACTTCCTTACCCTCATCTACATGAGCAGTAACCTTTTCAAATATGTCAAAAGATTT